GACATTTTTTAAAAGATTTTAAAAAGTGGTATTTGAGTAGTGTCATTTTTCAAAAAAAAAATCATAAACAATTACATCTTATATATGTAAATTTGTTAGGGTTATTTAGGCTCTCATTTTAGATCTCAAAGATGTGGTTTGCGGATTCCTAATGTTTTGCTCGAAAATCTTAACCTCGAAAATTCTAATCAATCGATATAATACGTAACCAAAGTATATATGTTGCGTCTTTTTTTATTTGTATGGTTTGTCTTGCTATTTCTTATATTATTATAACAGTTTTATAAAGTTTACCCACAAGTATCGACAAACGATTAACACTCACAATAAGATTTTGAAGAAAAAAACAACGCTTGATATGAAGCAGAAAATGATAGAAAATAAACTAAAACATCTCAAGACACATCTTTCGGAATGGGAGAAGATTAGTTTTGTCAAAGTAGCCTCAATTTCAAAAATAATTCGGCATGTTTTTCATCGTGTTGATAGTGATGAAGAAAAGTTAATTACCAAATGTTATATAATTATATGTTTGTTATCATCTGGATATTTTATATTTCTTTTTTCAATAATGTTCAGTAATAATCTTTAAAGTAATATTTGATTGGATTGTTTAAATTATATTTTCACATGTACAATCTAATTAGATGTTCGTTCACTAAAATAAATAATGGATATTGTGTTGTATATAAAACCTTAATTTTATAATTCAAATTTCTAATATATTATTTTTGTAATTTTTGTAGCGCGCAAGGCGCGCGGGTACATGCCTAGTTATATTGTATAAATGGCCGTAATTAGAAAACCATAGCTTGGGGTAGGAACATACATTTGTAATGCTTTCTGAAAATAATAAAACGGGCAATTTATTATGTTCAGACACAGAATACAAAACATGGGCCTGAAGCCCAAATTATTTAAGTCGCCGAGTCGGTCCGGGTATATAGTAAACGGGTCGGGTCTATTTCACCTCTTCTTGAAGACTTAGGGTTAAGTCAAAACGCGAAGAAGAGTAAAATCGAAATCCGAAACAGAGCTCAAAGAGAAGTAACTGCGAACAAGAGTCACAAAAACAATTTGATTTTGGAGGAAGACAGAGAGAGATGGAAGACGATCATGATCTTGATCTCGGAAGATCCGATCGATCGATTTGGTTAATGAAATGTCCTGTAGTTGTCGGAAAGGCATGGCAGAAGCAAACTCCTCCTCCTTCATCTTCTTACTCTGAATGTCCTTCCATAGCCAAAGTTGTTCTCTCTATTGATCTTCTACAGCCCGATCCTTCTCCTTCTCCTGAGGTATAGGGTTTTTCTTCGATTTCGATTCTCTTGAGTTCTTGTCTGTATTAGTTCGAAACCCTAGATTGTTGATTTGAGTTGAGTTTTGTCTGAAATTGAGGAGCTATCTATTCATGAAATTACATTACTTTCACAAAGTTTGGATTTTTTCAAGCTAACTTTAGTACCCATGTGGTTTGATTTTGCTAAATCTAGCTTTAGGGAAGGTTTTTTATGGTTCTTTGAACTTATTTGTCACTGTAATTATTATGTATCAGTTCAAGATGGAGATGGTTGGTGCTGAGTTTGGGAACATGCCAAAGAGTTACTCTTTGAATATGTTCAAAGACATTGTTCCAATGGCTACTTTTTCCGATGTTAATCTAGGTGAGTTCTTTTGTTTTCGATTCTATTGTCTGATTGATAACATCAGATTGTTGTCTCTGGCTGAAATCTGGTTGAGATTTAGGCATCTCTTGATATGTTTTTGTTGAATTGAGCTTATAGGTAATGTAGCTACTGAAGGAAAAATAGAACACAAGTTCGATATGAAACCACATGGCGAAGATATTGAAGAATATGCAAGGCTTTGTCGGGAGAGAACAAGCAAATCCATGGTTAAGAATCGACAGATACAGGTTGCACATTTAGGTGTTTTTTTCCTTTTTAAAATTCTTCTCTGGCTCTAACTGTTAGCTAATTGAATTAAGCTTTTCTTCTTTGAAATTGCGCGTAAAAGGTTATTGATAATGATCGCGGAGTACATATGAGGCCTATGCCTGGAATGCTTGGTTTAGTTTCCTCCAATTCAAAGGTAACATTCTTCTCTTCTCAATGATTTTGCAGATATGGTCCATATAGAGATGAGATGGTAAAAGTTAATGAAGCAACAATTCAGCTTCGATGCTCTTTTTTTGTCTGTGTCAAACTTGATATGAATTTAGTATGGGAACTTCAATAATGATCTGAAATTTTATTCTTTCTTTATTTTTGCTGCTTGATCAGGCTTACTGATGTAATTGTTTGTGTTGTGTCTGAATAAACCAGGAAAAGAAGAAGCCTGCCCCAGTCAAGCAAACCGAGGTGAAGAGGACGAGGAGAGATCGTGGCGAGCTTGAAGCTATAATGTTCAAGCTATTCGAAGGCCAACCCAACTGGACACTGAAACAGTTGGTACAGGAGACGGACCAACCAGCGCAGTTTTTGAAAGAGATACTAAACGAGCTTTGTGTGTACAATAAGAGAGGATCGAACCAAGGGACATATGAGCTTAAACCAGAATACAAGAAAACAGTGGAAGAAGATACAAGTGGGCAGTAAAATCATATCCCTTAGCACTAATATACATGTGCCATAGTTACAATATAAACCCGAGTCATCGATTGAGGAAGAAAAGAGTTTAGCAAAACAAAAGAGAACAGGGTTTCTTTGAGTCGTCGTATTTTTAATTATTGTATTATTATCAGAGCCAAATAGGCAAATTATGATAGTGAGTGTTTGTTTATGAAGTCATAACAAAATCATGTGGCGGTTTGGTTGGATACAAACGAACAGTAAAGTCCTATAGAGACGAGACGTCAAATGTGTCTTCCACTGCTTGAACGTAACCGTGATTAGGTCATTTTGAAAACGACTTGAGGTTTTTTCTGATTCTCTCTCTCTCTCTGAAGATTCCAAGTTGTGACATTTGAGCCGTAGATTTATGGGATGATGCACATTTATGACAGAGACGACATAATGTATGGTAATGGAGATATATGAAAATGTACTTCTCCCACTTTTTATTTGTGGCAGACACATTACACTAATCTTGTTTATATACTGAATCATCCCTCTTAAGGTTATCATTCATTTCATTTTTTTGATCATTTAAGTTCTGAATGAATCAAAAGAACGACTTTTCGACCAAGATATTTGATTTAGAGGTTTGTAATCGTAACGTTATTGCGTCACCACTCGGATACAGAAACCTTCATAATGCATGTTATTGACAAAAGAACGACATTCAATTTCGTTGATAATAGAATAGCTAAATTAAGGATTCTAGATCCGGACACATACTCAATTACTCATTAGATATAATATACTTTTCTTTAAATCTACTAAAACAATATTAGTTAGGAGATAAACTCATTGTGGCACGGTGGTTTCGGTTTTAGGACCAAAGACATAAAGATGCTACTCACTTGCGAGATTGTGCAGACGTTTCGGAGAAACTTATTTGATCCTAATTTGAGAATATTATGAGAAAAACCACTATTCAACTTTGATCTAGAAAGTTTCAAACAAAAAAAAAAAAAACTTTGATCTAGCCACCCATGTGTTTCTACATGTTTTTAGAGTTTTGTGATGTGCCATATTTTTTACACATTTTTTTAAGTTCTTACTTCTTCTCTTAGCAAGTCAAACTATAAACTGATCAGAAATATAGCCTACAGAAAAATATTTTTAATCATTTTTAATAACTTTTCAATGTGGTCGGGTCTAAATTAATAGGCTAATTAATATCGTATCATAGCCTTATATTTATTGGACGAAAAAGTGAAAAAAGCATTCAAATTTAAGGAATTATAATTGGTACTTTATTTGTTAGCAAAATCTTTTTCTTTCCTTTTTTTCCGATGGAGCCTGTGATTGCAAGTGTTGAAAATAAATAAGTTCTCTTTTGTTTATTGACCAAGTCACAGCGTGAAAGAGTATTTTTAACCGGAGGAAAATAGACATGAAAACATGTAAAAAAGTAGTAAATATATGTTTTTGTTTTGTTGTTATAGCTTTGTACAATAAAATAGCAACGAGACATGTAAAAAAAAAATTAAAGTAGTAATTTTTTTTTTTGTTATTGTTGTAAATCTTTGTACATTAAAATGAAGGTATACGAATGCTTTCTTTGCAACTATCTAGTTTTTTTTTTTTTTGAAAACAAACGTGGCCATCAAAACAGAATCTTTTTTTTTTATCAAGTACTTTTTTTTTTCTAGAGGAAAACTTCCTTCCAATAAAATCAGATAGAAATTTTTCTTCTCCTTTTAGTGTTGGCCCCACATAATTTATTTTCTTCTCATTTATTATTTTATTGTAAACAATCATACCTTATCTATTATTTTAAACTATCTATCTCTCTAACCACTTGGTTAGATTTTATATTATGTTTTTTTGGTAATTAAGCAAAATCACCCAAAATAAAATCAAACTAATATTTTAAATGCTTAACGAAAATACATAGAAAATGAACAAAGAGCTTATCTAGCACAAAAGCGTGACTTGATAAAAAGGAAGAGATAAAATGATCATGTTAAAAGTGGAAAATGTAATTCTTTGATGGAAAATATGGTGTATACAGAAGACTAAAAATTTTAATTATGACATGAGACTAAGAATTGTAATTATGACAATTATATCAGTAGTTTAATCATGTCGGACTATCTCTAACTAAGAAATCCACCAAATTTCATGTCAAATATAGTGGATTTGGGTTGAAGATTTTTAACAATTATTTTTTGCATGCATGCCAAACAAAAGCATTCGAGGTGAATAAAAACAAAATTTTTTTAAAAGTCAGTATATGTTTGGACATAGAGAAGGCCTCGCATGCAAAAAGCCAACCCACAAAATAGTTGCATAAACACCTAATTGACTACATGGAAGAAGAAAACCTTATAATTCCTTTTTAAAAATGATTGAATAAGTTTTATTTTTGGTTTAACTAATATACATATAGAACACATTTTTGAGCAATTGATCAAAAAAATATGAGTATAAATTTTACTGCGTCATGTGTCACTGCGAGCCATCGGATCAAGTAATAACCCATTTTTGGTTTTTTATACTTCCAATCCATTTTTAGGTAAAAGCTCTTAAGAACACGACACATTAGTTGACACTAACACTTATTCATTTGGCTCTTTCTTTTGTTATTCGAAAATCTTAATTAACACACCTCTCAAAATAATAGTCCCGTTTGATCTCACACCGAATCAATAAACCTTTTTTTATCAAATTAAATAAAATGGACTCTAATAACAAGTTAAGTATCACTATAGACTCCAACGAGTAAACGTTTAGAGTTATTTTCCGCTAGTTAGTTTGCCATCTTATAGTTCCGTCGAATTGAAACTAACTTATTTATTTTTAAAAATAAATGTTTATATTAATTAGTAAACGTATTGAAATTACGTTAGTGGGTAAAGTGGCATTAGTCTTATAATATGTTGAAGGGTCATACTTGTCTCGACCTCATAGTGTTGTCGCACGTCAAGGTGTCTCCTTAGTGACATCCACTTATCATCATTCATAACTCACAAACGAATCTAACGAGACTCTATCGAATATCAATCAAAGCATTGGATGAATACTTTTTTCTAAACATCGGATGAATACTAAATTACTAATATACATATAATTCCATATATTATACAATTAGAGTTCGATTAAGCATGTACAAAATTTTTGATAGTACAAATATCAATATAAAAATGATAGTACAATTATAAACAATACAAATAGTGACTAGAAATGATAGTACAGTAAAAAAACAGTGATTTTATTTTTTGTAATATTCTTTTACTAATTGGTTACATAAGAGATAGTTCAAGTTGTACTACTCTAAAAATATGTAACCAATCAAAGGCAGATGTCACATTTTTTTATATAACAAGATGTCATGATACCATGACTCAAACTAATTCCAAATTTGTAAAAAAAGAGTTTATATTTATTTATATCGTGTACAAGTAACTAAATAAGAAGTCGAGAATATAAGTCCATATTTGATGAGATTCGCCCTTCGCCCTCTATCTACATAAAAGTTCTTTTGCGACTAGAATGCTTAGCCATTAGACCGCACCTTGGTTCCTCTTCAATCATTATACACATGCATATAGTCATATATATAGATACACAACCGACACCATTGTCCATTGAATTACCTCAATTTAGGTACTTAAAGACATTAAATGTGATCCAGTTTTGCAGAACCGTGTGTCTACGTTCTTCAGACAAATCTGTTTTTGGTTCGGAACATTTTGTTTCTTTTTCAAATTACAGTTAAACATGTGTTTCGTGACTTATTACAAGAATTGTCGTAAATATAAGTGACAGCTTTTAGCGTATTATTGGATAATTAGTGACAGGATAAGAATCAAGTTTATAAATTGGATCATATTAAAGATGTAAAAACTATGCATTGATCATCTCAGATATCCCTAAAAGAAATTACATTCTTTTATCTATAAAATTAGGTTAAAAGCTAATCTTTGTGTATTAAAAATTCAAAAGAGGAGTGAGAAAAAGAGAGAGAGATCGGAGACAAGAAGATTCGCTCGTGGGCGAGCAAAGATGATAAAGAAATGAAATAAAGTGAGGAAAAAAGGAGACAAAGCAATTAAATATCCCAACTAAGATTGGTCTCCCTCTTCTTCTTCGTCTGCTCGTTACCGTTACTGTCTTGCTGGGTCCTTAGTCCTTACCCGACCCGTTACTGTCTTGCTGGGTCCTAACCCGACCCGTTTCTTTACCCTTTACCTGTTGAGAGAAAGAGACTTGGATAAAAGTATAAACTTTATACAAAAGGGTTTATTGTCTTCTTTTCAACCTAAAAAAGGGATTTGTTTTCTTCTTTTTAAAACTAAACAAGGGTTTATCTTCTGTCATTAAGACGAATAATGCTATTAATTCCATTATTTGTATTTTAAGTATCACTTTTGTACTAGTTCCGGAAATTGGGCTAATTAATAGTGAAACTTTTGTCTTTATCGTCAATAATACGCCCCTCTTTTAATATATCAACGATGTTAAGTGATCTTTCATACAATTTTGTTTTTTTTTTATATATTACAAGTGATCTTTCATTTTTGTTTGTTTTTTAACATTAAATTTTTA